CCAATTCCTTTGTCGAAGACATAACTGAAACTGACGAACAGCAAGAGAAAATTAAACTATACCATGAGACTAAAACATCTCATCGCGGAGTTACAGAAAATGTTTCATCTTTAAAGAAACGTTATTATTGGTCTAATCTAGAAAAAGACGTTCAAGCATAATATGTCAAAACATGCGAAATTTGTAATAAGACAAAATATGAAAGGCAACCCTATAAAATAATATTCAAACCAACTCCAATCGGTTCAAAACCCTTTGAACACCTTTATATTGATACATACGTAGTTTCGAATCAAAAATTCCTAACAATTATTGACAATTTTTCGAAGTTTGCACAAGCTATCCCAATTATTAGCAAAACTTCAGTTGAGATTGCATCACAATTAATAAGATATTTCAGTGACCATGGAATTCCACAAAGAATTACTTCCGATAACGGAACTGAATTTAAAAACGCAATTGTAACAGATTTATGTACTTTACATAAAATCGAATTCCATTATACGAGACCTCGAAACCCTAATTCTAATAGTCAAATAGAAAGGCTATATTCTACCCTGAGAGAAAGTCTAACCAGCTTGAAATTACAAAGCCCTAATAAAAACATTAATGATTTAATGGTAATTGACCTTTTCAATTTAAAAGCATCTCTCTCTGGCGTCAAACTGTCAGACGCCAAAAGAGTATGAAAACAACGGTTGACAGCCGCTGACAGTGTTTGTTGACAAGATGTTTGTACATGTGGAAACTGGAAACTATTATTTCCTCGGTTTTTTCAAAGTTTTTTCCTAACAATGGTGATTGTGTAGTGTGCCTTTTTGTGAAAATAATTTCTATTTACCGGCGGACGTGTCTCTCCATAAGTTTCCATCAAATTCTACATTTGTCAAATTTTGAATACATAAAATCAGAAAGAATACTCGCAAAAAAAAGGGAAATCCACGGCCTATCAAGTATACAATAATCCACGTTCAAGTTTAGTTTGCGGGAGCTGTTATCTTCCAAAATAATCCACGGCTTTCTCCATAGCGAAGTTCTGCAAATGAAGTAGTGACTTTTCCCACATTTTCTTTCAAAACACCCAATACATACTGGCATTGACAAGCAAGCAAATGTTGGCGGGAAAATGATTGTTTTCATACTTTATTGTCCATCTCTTTTAATTGAAAACGTCAATTGCAATCTTGAATTATAATAACAGCATACATAGTGTTACAGGTTATAAACCTTTCCAAATAATTAAAGGCGATTTAAATTATTCAATACCTATTGAAAATTCACAAAATAAGATAACCACAGATTATATTAATAATCTTGCCGAATCATTAGAAACTCTAAATAATGTAATTCATGACAAATTAATATCAAAACAAACACAAAATTTAGAGAAAATCAATAAAAAAAATGAAAAGGAACCTGAATTAAAAGATCCTATTTTTATTAAGCAATTTGACAGAAATAAAATTAGTCCTCGTTATGGGGCTAAAACACAAGTCAGATTTAGTAAACAAATGGTAAAGCGACAACATTTTGTTTCAGAAAAACCAAAATGTTCACGGCAGCTTTCATCATCCTCCTCATAGGAATTTCCAGTAACGCCTACACATTAACTCCATTAAGAAATCCTATTTTACCGATTTCTATAGGAACCACTTACATCACAACACAACACAACACTGCATGTTATCACATTAATACTACCCTTATTGGAAACAGTATTAAAACTCTCGAAATAACTTTAAAGAATTTGAACAATACTTTAAATTTAACCAAATGGTCTAATAAAGACGAAATTGTTACTTTATTACAAGTAAATATTGAAACTAGTCAATTACGTATCAATACATAAAAGAAATTTATAAAACAATTTTCACACGATCGAATTAAACGTGGAGTATTCAATTTTATTGGTACCGCACAAAAATGGTTGTATGGTACATTAGACACAAATGACGGCAATAGATATGATTCTTACATTCAAACATTAAATGAGAATCAGCAAACTATCGATAAAAATCTAAAAGATCAAGCAAACGTACTTAAACAAGTTACGAAAACATTTCATGATCAATTTTCTACTATCGAAAATAATCAGATAATTATCTCAGACAAGATAAAAAATATTTCGACGGATAATCAAAATATTCAAACTATCTTAATGATGAATCTAATCTTAGAAAATATTAATATGCACAGTAGTAAGCTGCGAGAAATTATTAGCCACATACAAAACGCAATAAGCTTTGCACGCGTAGGCATAATGCACTATACAATTTTGCAGCATCATGAGGTAAATTTGATCTTGAAAAATATACCCGAGAGAGAACAAATACCCTTTGATAACGTAATTAAATACTATGAGACAATGTCCTCTCATGTAATTATTCAAAAGGAATTAATTATTTTTACTATATTCACACCAATAATTAATCCTAAACCTTTTATATTGTATAAATTATATCCTATACCCATCCAAAATTATACAATTAGTGTTAAGTATCCTTACCTTTTACTTACCACAGACACGTATTACAGCGCTTTACAAAAATGTCCAAATGTTGAAGACATTTATTTGTGCAAAATGGAACTATTGAAACAAGATGAGCCCTGTGTTCACGACATTGTATCTAGTGAACAACAATTATGCCCATTCACGAAAATTCAATATGAAGAATCGACAGTTGAAGAAATACCCAATAATCAAATATTGGTTATTCCAAAACGACATATGACAGCAATGCTGCAATGTGACCAGAAGAAGTACATGGAAATCATTTCCAGTCCAATCGTAATTTCCAAAGGTAAATGTTCAATAACAATTAATAATCGAACATTTTTGGAAGACACGCATGAGAACTTCAACCTAGAACTAGAACTACCCATCATCGAGATTCCTGAACTTCTAGAGAATACCACAACTGTAAGACTAAAAACAGTCGACCACGAAGCTCTTCAAACAGCGATTAAAGAAGCAAACAATTTAAAGACTGACCCATTAAAAGTGTTAGATTTTAAAACCAATAATGTGTCAACCTATATTATAATCATAGTATTAAGTTCTATTTGCATAACCATTATTCTTATTATATATTTTAGAGGAAAACGTAGTAAAACCCAAACTGAGGTGTAGATTGAATTGCCCAACATTGTTAGTCAATCCCAATTTTCAACCACGTAAGGAGGGAGGAGTTATATTGTAAGACTCTATGTTATCTTTATACTAATAATTCTCCTTTCCAACGTTAATTATAAGCGTACGCCTATGTCAATACTAATAAATATATAAAACTGCTTAATCAGCGGTACTGCACTGGTAGTACCACCACCTGCATAGGAAAATGCTTGGATCAGCAAATATTTATTATTTAAGCCAGAGCTTTCCAGTAAGGAGCGTTCATTTGTTTTCAGGCACTCCCTGTAGCAATTTGATCCACATATTTTCCGATTGTCACTATTGTATTTTAATTAATAAAATAAATGTTTTTTAAAAATACAAGTTTCTGAATCGAAAATATAATTAGCTGCATCTACAGTAATCTCATAAACTAACAAAATTTCGAATCGTATATGTATACTTACATAACTACTTAAGTATATAATATAAAAAATACCACTTGGAAAAAGCAAAAGCAGGTAATAAGAGAGTTTTCATTTTAAATTTATATTTTCTTAAAAAGGACTCTTGTTTTTCAAAAAAAAAAGAATGCAGAAAATCCTAGCTTCAGTTGCTTTGGGCAATAATTATTCCAAATCTGAAAATTAATGAAAGCATTGAGGGGGTTATATTTATACCTACTCATAGCTCAGCTTCGATAAATGACTGTAAGCCTCACTCTAGAAGGGCAACTTTACACGCCATTGTCACACCAGTGCCAGTGTGAATCCAAAATCCAAGGTTATAAATGATAAATAATTCAAAATGATTTAAATAATTCACCAACGCAACGCACTAACTAATCAACGCTTACAGCAAAAAATGGCGCGACACGACACAAACACCTGATCACAAATGAGCGGGCTCGTGCTACATGCTTGCACGGAAGCAATAATTGGAATGCACAGAAAAATTACAAAATAAACCATTATGGCCGCTTCGGGTTGTTTCGCGAATAGCCGAAGCCAATAACGGCCCGCTTAAGTTTATTATGGCTATAACGCACATTTTAAAGACTGAAAATCAACTAATAGTTGCTAAAAAACGTATATCGATGGTTATGAAAATCAATTTTTAAGATCGTGTGTAGTAACCATATTAAAGTATCTTGCTACTGCAGTAAATTCGTATGAAGAAATTTGGATACAATACATCAGTAAATTAAATTTTTAACAAGAGTAAAGTATTTTATAGGAGCTCATAGATAACTATAGGTGATAATGAGGATAATTCAACAAAGAATTTTTAGCAACCATAAAAATACGTTATTCAGTAATAGATAGATAATTTATGGCAGTTATCAGAGATATGGATGATTTTGTAAATGATTTAATAACATTTTGCTACGTTAGCTAAAATTTCATCAAATGGTAGGTAAGTGTTTCGATGATTGCAAAATTAACTTGTTTCGTTAGAAAATTTTTGCTTGCTATTCAGATAGACCACGTTGGTGAGTTCACCAATAATTATTGTTCAGTGATTCCTTGTAGGTTTCCTCAGTTTTTGCTGGTTTCGGTGGGACTCGAACTTATGTGTGCCTGTTTCTTGGTAGTTTTCGCTAATGTTGCTTCCATTGAGTTAGACGTTATAAAACCAAGTGTGAAGACTTGAAGAATTTTTAAATCCTCCGAACGAGTAGTACGAGCTCTACTTCGTGATCAAATTCACCAAATAACCAAATACTTAGGAGCTAAGTATTGAACTTCTATCGATAAAGCTAAATTACGTCTGACATGTCAACTAAACTACAGAATATCCTGCCGATAGGTAATACCATAAGGATGCCCATTCTCCATGTATCTGAAATTGTAATCTGCAAAGGATGATTTATCAATAAAACAATTAATCATGAATGCTATACTATTTTTCTTTATTTCTAACATCATTTTGAATTTGCAAAAAGCTCTTACCCCGAGTCTCGGGCACACAAAACCAAACAAAAAATACAGCCACAAACGATGTTAAAGCAAAAATCCAAAAAGGCACATAAAATCCTATTTGATCCGACATCAAGGGAAATAGTGTGGCTATTCCAAACTCAGCTAAAAGCCCTAGGGACATCACCAGAGTGTTCCCTAAGGACTTAACATTTGGTTCCAAAATTTCTCCAGGAAATATGTAGCTAATTGGTCCAATGCCCAATTGAAATGCCATAATAAATATCATGAGGCAAGCTATTGGTAACCAAGAAACCTGTTTTAAATCAACATTGTTTTGCTGTAAATAGAAGAAGGCGCCTAAAATTATTTGCAACAAAAAAATTATTATTAATGAAATTATTAATAAAACTTTTCTGTTGACGCGGTCAATAGTATTTGTTGAAGAAGCAATACTGAAAACTTGAATGGTTGTTACTAAAATAACAGAAATATCTCCATTTAAAGGAGTTTGAGCGGAATCAAATATTTTCTGAGTGTAATCAACGATGTAGATCAAACCTGTGAATTGTTGTAGCACCATCAAGTTTAAAGCTATTAAAAAAGCTCTAACAGAATGTTTATCGGTAAAAAGTTCTTTATAAGGATTTTTATCTTGAGTACCTTTCAATTCTTTAACTCCTTTGATAATTTCTTCCATCTCCTCATCAATATCATCTTTTCTTCTCAATTTTTTCAAACACTTTCTCGCATAGTCAGTTTTATCCACCAGAACGTAAAAATATGGAGTTTCAGGTACGAATATTCCAAATATAATTAAAAATAATAGGCAAGGAACTAGAGAAATTATGCCAAAGTTTTGTAGGCTAACATAAGGGCCTATGGTGCTGGACGAAAAATGGCCTATAGATATAAAAAGTAACATTATGGCTCCTATTGTTCCTCTGTTGTGTTTTTCGGATATCTCTGCTGAATAGACTGGGATTATTGAGAAGATACAGCCTTCGGTTAACTAAAAAAATAAAGGGTTAGTTAAGCTTTACTGCAATTACTTAATAAACATTTAAATTTTTTGCACTTGCACTAAAATTCGGCTACTTTTTAGTCCGATTTATTACTAGAAGCTAGTTATTTACTACTGAGAATGCAAAGGAATACAAAAGCCAATTTTCTAGAGATGGAACGTTTTTATAATGTGATTACTTACAGAAAAAACTAGACAAATTTTAAAATTAAGTTGAGCAAAACATTTCAATTTAACGTGCAATCTACTTACCCCCATTAGGAACCTGGCGATATAAAAATGCAAAACGTTATTGGCGAAAATCATGATGAAGTGTCCAATGATCATTGGCAATGACAGCGCTAGTAAAGTCTTTTTTCTCCCAATTTTTTCGGATATGAATTCCGCCAGGAGGGGACTGATCATGGCTCCCAAACTAGAAACAATTTTAATTTAATTTATTAATAATTTTTGTATTTTTCAAAGAGATTCAGAGGTCAAGTGAGAGTCATACATAATTTTTTTTTTCTCCGGAGTATCAAAGAGTACACAATACAATTGAAATTTACAAGCATCCCATTCGTCCCGAAAGCAGTTACAGCACTACTTATGTGTCTAATCTAAAAGTATTACACCTCAGAGGCTTTTTTCCGGTAAATTACGTTATTTTTGGTAATTTTATCTATAAATCAACGCATGAACGAGGGCTTCTTGATATATCATCGGCAGTACTTCTTATTCATGATAAATATATTTTTTGAGCTATTCAGCTTGAGCTTGGTATTTATTAAAAGTAATAAGTCATCCGACAAAATTGTGGATGAGGTTTCTTCCGTCACGGTGGCCATCCACCGTGACAGGGATTTCGGCCATGGCCGAAATCCCTGTTTCCACAAAAAAAAACCTGCTGGGGGAAGAAGCGCGTCTATAAAGATGATAAAGAAATCTGATATTTTTCCAGAGAGTTAGGATTACTCAACTGAGAAAATCCATGAACTTGACAGAAGTCGAAATGAAGGCCTTTGTCACAAACTGGTGAGTCGTCAAGCGAAAACCCCAAGCTGGATATGAACGGCGACAATGCCCGACCAACTTCTAGATTTCCTACGCAAACCCGCGAGGATGACACTGACAGTCGGCCCTTGAACATCATGATGACCTATTTTGGGAACTTGAAAGGAAAGCTCTAACTGTTATAGCCAATAGTTGACGATAAACTTATCGTAATACAAGTTAATTAATTTATCAAACAGTGTTTTATTTTTTATTGGTACCCCAGACACTACAAATTGGCGACGAGGATGGAATGATAAATTACTACTCAAAATTTGTACCAAATGCATCACAAATTCTAAAACCTCTTGATAATCTTTTAAAGTGCGACAGGGAATTTACATGGTCAAAAGAGTATGCGAAAATGCCTTTATGAAGATTAAGTTCAGAAGAAAATTCCGAGAAATAGTTATTTATGCAACAAGTGTGTAAAGTGAACCTTTTTTCACGAATGTGAATTTTCACACGAGCCGAAGGCGAGTGCGATAATCGCATGAGTAAAAAAAGGTGCTTTACGCACGAATTGCATACAAAATTTTTTCTACTACAAATCAAATATGTGTAAAAAAATTGATTTAGACAAATACTTTACGCACTAGTGCGTGAGGTATTTTCACTTTACGCACTAGTGCGTGAAGTAATTTGCCAGAAAAATACTAAATTGACAGTTTGATATCTGTCATTGACATTACTTTACGCACTAGTGCGTGAAGTGAAAATTCACGTCTTCTGAATAGTGCGTAAAGTGAGTACTTTACGCACGGTAGTAGAAAAAGTATATTTCTGAATTTTACAGCTTCTCGAGACGAATGGTTCATAAATAACGAAGATATACGCAAGAAAATTAATGAGGACACGAAGTTGAAACAGATTATGAGGTATATGCAGCAAGAAAAGTGGCCAAGTCGAATTCCCACAGAGATCCTTCCCTACTACATCCGCAGAAAAGAAATATTCGTGGAAAATGTTGTGCTAATATGGAGATATTGAATAGTTATTCCTAAAGCCTTTACAGTCAGATTTGCTTGGGGAACTTCATTTTTGTATCACTTTGGCATGGTTGAAACTAAGGCGGTTCATTTATTTATTGGCCTGTCGCCTATATAGACCAGGACATAAAATTGACATGCAAAATATGCAGCTATTGCCAGCATAATGAATCTTTACCGTCTTTATACCTTGGAGAATTGAAAAAGCCTTATGGCAAACAAAAAATCCTCATGGATTATTTGGGGCCGATCCAGGGGAAAATATTGCTTTTGGTGGTGGACGTGTTTCGAAGTGAATTGAGTTGATGCCAGTGAATTCTATTCCATCCCTGGAAACAAAAGAAAAGTTGAAAGACGTTTTCGCTATGTTGGGCTTGCCAAAGATGATGGTATCATATCGGATAATGCAACACAATTTAATTAATGTTAAAACGTAACGGCATAAAAACTATTTTCGCTTCCCCAGCAAACACAGAATCATATGGCAAGCGAAAATGGGGTAAAACGCTGCAAATATGATCTGACTATAAAATCGAGATGTTAGTTCAAGGTTGTCACCGCTTTAATTATGCAAATAAGGCAATCTGAATATAAAATCGATATGTTTATGTTAGTTCAAGGTTGTCACCGCTTTTGCATACATTAAGTGCTGACTCATAGATAGGCAATAATTACTTATACATAATTGAAGTCGGGTAAGTGTTTGGAAGAAGTCCGGAGAGGTCAGGAAAGGGCTGGATAAGGTCTGGAGAAATCTAGACAAGTCTGGATAAAGTCTGGATAAGGCTGGATAAAGTCTAGCTAAGTCTGGAAAAGTTTGGATAAAGTCTGGAAAAGCCAGAAAATTTATGGAAACGTCTGGAAAAGGCTCTATTGGATCTGGAGAAATCTAGACAAGTCTGGATAGAGTCTGGAAGAATCTACCTAAGTCTGGAAAAGTCTGGATAAAGTCTGGAAAAGCCTGGACATTTCTGGAAACGTCGGGAAAAAGCTGGATAAGGTCTGGAGAAATTCAGGCAAGTCTGGATAAGGTCTGGAAAAGTGTATTTGAAGTCGGGAAAGTGTTTGGAAGAAGTCCGGAGAGGTCAAAGGGCTGGATAAGGTCTGGAGAAATCTAGACAAGTCTGGATAAAGTCTGGATAAAGTCTAGCTAAGTCTGGAAAAGTCTGGATAAGTTTGGATAAAGTCTGGAAAAGAGCCAGAAATTTTCTGGAAACGCTATATTAGGTCTGGAGAAATCTAGACAAGTCTGGATAAGGTCTGGAAAATCTATCTAAGTCTAGAAAAGTCTGGATAAAGTCTACAAAAGCCTGAACATTTCTGGAATCCTCTGGAAAAGGCTTAATAGGGTCTGGAGAAATTCAGACTAGTCTGGATAAAGTCTGGATATGTCTGGATAGAGTCTAGCTAAGTCTGGAAAAGTCTGGATAAATTTGAATAAAGTCTGGAAAAGCTTTAATTATGCAAATAAGGCAATCTGCTTTAATTATGCAAATAAGGCAATCTGAATATAAAATCGATATGTTTATGTTAGTTCAAGGTTGTCAGCGCTTTTGCATCCATTAAAGTGCTGACTCATAGATAGGCAATTACTTATACATAATTGAAGTCGGGTAAGTGTTTGGAAGAAGTCCGGAGAGGTCAGGAAAGCGCTGGATAAGGTCTGGAGAAATCTAAACAAGTCTGGATAAAGACTGGATAAGGCTGGATAAAGTCTAGCTAAGTCTGGAAAAGTTTAGATAAGTTTGGTAAAGTCTGGAAAAGCCAGAAAATTTCTGGAAACGTCTGGAAAAGGCTCTATTAGGTCTGGAGAAATCTAGACAAGTCTAGATAAAGTCTGGAAAAATCTAGCTAAGTCTAGAAAAGTCTGCATAAAGTCTGGAAAAGCCTGGAAATTTCTGGTAACGTCTGCAAAAGGCTTGATAAGGTCTGGAGAAATTCAGACAAGTCTGCATAAAGTCTGGAAAAGTGTATTTGAAGTCGGGAAAGTGTTTGGAAGATGTCCGGAGAGGTCAGGAAAGGGCTGGATAAGGTCTGGAGAAATCTAGACAAGTCTGGATAAAATCTAGCTAAATTTGGAAAAGTCTGGATAAGTTTGGATACAGTCTTGAAAAGCCAGAACATTTCTGGAAACGCCTGGAAAAGGCTCTATTAGGTCTGGAGAAATCGAGACAAGTCTGGATAAAGTCTGGAAAAATCCAGGTAAGTCTAGAAAAGTCTGGATAAAGTCTGGGAAAGTCTGGAAATTTCTGGAAACGTCTGGAAAAGGCTTGATAAGGTCTGGAGAAATTTAGACAAGTCTGAATAAAGTCTAGCTAAGTCTGGAAAAATCTGGATAAAGTCTGGAAATTTCTGGAAAACGCATGGAAAGGACCCCGCAATATTTAAATGGAAATTGGTTACCCGTGATATTTGGATGAAATTTAAATATGTTATTGAGGATGCCGTAAGCAACATTTTTTAACATGGGCACAACCCTGTATATATGACAGGTGAAGCGTGGTTAGCTGTCAAATATTGGAATCTTATATCCAAAAGCAGACTAACTATGGCAGATTTTGATGAACAAAAAATCTATTTCTACTGAGTCGACCAAATTAAGTCGAAAAATGTCAACCATTTTGACATCTGCCAAACCCCTGCCAAACGGCAGCACTCATCTTTTCCAGTTTTCAATATTTTATAATGTCATTTGACATTTTTAACTTGTATGTAAATTCTGAATTCAAAAATTGAAAAAAAAAAATGACAGTACTGTCAAAATGACATCTTTGTGGATTTCATTTGTAAGTGTCAAAATTTTTGAGTACTATCATGATTTCATTAAAGTATTCAAAAAAAATCGCCGGTATATAAAATCGTTTATACTAAAACTACATACTTTAAAATGAAAATTGACATCTCTGTCAAAATCTGAAGCCTGCGTATAATGTTTTTTCATGCGTTATCATAAATAAGCCTAACCTTAATTGGAAAAGAACTAGATTTAATTTTTTTTTGAATCAAAGCTATTGACAAATTACTTTGTTCAATGTTTTATCACCAATACACTACCTTGAAACGAGAAAGAACCAAATTAAATTATTTTTTTCTACTGAAGCAAATGACAGGTTTTGTCATTTTTTTTTGAAATTTTTGAATTCAGAATTTACATACAAATTAAAAATGTCAAATGACATCATAAAATATTGAAAACTGGAAAAGATGAGTGCTGCCGTTTGGCAGAGTTTTGGCAGATGTCAAAATGGTTGACATTTTTCGACTTAACTTGGTCGACTTAGTAGAAATAGATTTTTTGTTCATCAAAATTTGCCATAGTTACTCTGCTTTTGGATATAAGAATCCAATACTTGACAGCTAACCACGCTTCACCTGTCATATATACAGGGTTGTG